CCCACCGAGGAGGGTTGGTGGGCACCGAAAGGAGGCTTGCCGCAGTACCAGGGGCCCGTCCCTGGTACTGTGTGCCCAGAACTGGCAGGCTCAATGACTTTCAGAGCCTGCATTGCCTCCGGTGTCGACGGCATCTGTACCAGTAGGGATGCGCGCACGGATGGCGCCAGGCTGCTCGACGCGGGACCAGCCTCCCCTCTTTCCTTGTCTCGGCACCGCTGCGAGGTAGGGCCCTTCCCCTGTTTCTTGGAGGGAGGCCAGTGCCAGCTGGTCGAGGGGGCCTCGCTACGCACCGACGACGCGGTGGCGGGTGCCGAGTCCGTTTGGCGCGCCGGAGTTGGGGCCAGCACCAACTCCACCAGGAGTGCTCGAAATCTAATGTCTCTCTCCTTCTTGGTCCTTGGCTTGAACGACCTGCAGATCTTACAACAGTCACTGATGTGAGTCTCACTCAGGCAGCGGAGACACTCAGTGTGCGGGTCACTCCTAGGCATAGAACGGCGACAGGAGTCGCATGACTTGAAGCCTGGGGCATGGGGCATGCCCCGAGCACACACTAACAACTGAAGAAACAATCCATGAATGGAACCACTAAGGTCAAGAAGAAAGGCTGCAGCAGAGCTGGAGCACAAAGTTCTGACTACCTTCACTGGCGGCAAGAAGGAACTGAGGGTGCGGGGAGCGCGTCGCTCCCCTTATAACGCGATATGCAGGCGCCACTCCAGGGGTCGCTGCGGTGCTCCCCCAGTACGGGTATTGCTAAGGGAAAAACTTCCGGCACCGGTGCACATGGCGAGCATGCACACCTACTGTGGAATACACATAAGCAATCACTCAAAGAAGAACTCTCTTTCTGAATCCGCTGATTGTTCCAGAGCTTTCCCAAGACGCTGATCAGTTTCACTGATGCTATTCAGAATCCTGTGGCAGCTGTGAAATTAACAAGAATCTTTTCAGTTTTACTCTGTCTCAATTTATTCGAGCTATTTCAGGACAGGATCACCTAATGAAGACAGGGGAGGGCAGCAGATACCACCACCCCAAGGCAGCCAGCATGCTCTGGGCTGGAAAGACTAAGAAAGAATCTTCTCCATTTCAACAGTCAGGGAAGGGGGGGGATGAGGGGGGAGAGAGAAGTGATTCAGATTCAAAAGACATATTAGGCTACAGGCTGCTATGAAATATGGAGCCCACAAGCAGGGTCCAAGGTTAGACCATCTCTCTTCTAGGTGGCTTGGGGCAGGATTTGGGTTTCTCTCTCACGTGCTTCCCTGAGGCCTTATTAGAAGCCCTCAAATCTTCTGTATTTGCCTCCAGCAATTAGTATTCCCAGTTCTGAGCCCTATTTGACATAATCAAGTGGAGTGGAACTAAAATTTTGTAAAAAATGGATCCTAGATGAACCTCTCTTTCCCCCATGAAAGAGAAACAGGTGGATTCAAGAAACCTACATATATACATACATACACACACACCCAAACTGATACCAAAGTGGATCTGTTTGAAGATTTACATTTCATCCAGAGGACATTTCTAACAGATTACTTTTCCCTTTCTTCCATATTGTGAGCATTTCACATACAAAATCTGTCAGTTTCATTGCACAGAATGTTCTATTAGTGAAAATTTATTTCAGTATACATTGTTACATGTAATTTCTGAAACACTGTGGCAACTTAGGCCTGGTCTACACTACGACTTTAATTCGGATTTAGCTGCGTTAATCCGAATTAACCCTTCACCCGTCCACACTACAGAGCCAGTTAATTCGAATTAAAGGGCACTTAAAATCGATTTCTGTACTCCACCTCGACGAGCGGAGTAGCGCCAAAATTGATTTTGTTAATTCGAATTAGGGTTAGTGTGGCCGAACACCACCGAATTAATGTGGTTAAATTAATGGGGTAGTGTGGCCGCACACCACCGAATTAATGTGGTTAAAAACCGAATTAATGTGCTTAGTGTGGCCGCGCACAATCGAATTTATACAACCTGTTTCCCAAATTCGAATTATCTAAATTCGGATTAATCCCGTAGTGTAGACATACCCCTAGTAACCGCTAGGATTCCATTCAAGGAAGCCATATGAAGCCTTCAGGGTGCTGGCATGCAAACAGTTTCAGTTGTGATGGCTCGTCACTCAACAAATCAAACAGTGTTAAAAGAATTTAGCTGTAGTTGTGAGGTGACTTGCAAACATAAAGAGCTTTTTTTCCTATATGCTGGTAATTAAGAGGCAAAAATATCCACTGTTCCATAAGAATACAATGAAAATATTATTCCCTGCTTAGAGGGGGAAAAGTGACTGGATACAAATTACAGTTACATAAATGAACAGAATGTTGTGCCCTACAGTCTGGCTGCAGAATTAACAAGTGTCAGCTTCAAACAACAAAGTGAGTTCATTTACCTGTGCACTATATACACTACACTTACTAAATTATTTCAAGGAAGCTGAACTATGAAGAATCCTAAAACTACAAATATTGATCGTTCAACATCTTTAATAGACCGCGTTCAGTCCATGTTAAGAGATGTTCCATCATTGCCAATTCTTAACAGGATCGAGGCATCCCCTGAAGAGGTCTGTGTCCTTTAACTAAATACACAAGTCAAATTGTCACAGAGCAACATGGACTTTAGTGTCAAAATGAAAGTAGTTTGCAAGAACTCTGCATCAAGACCCTGGGTCATATCTTGGACCACTGGATAGGTAAGGAAGATCTTGTCACATTCTGAAGAATTTTCCTCTGGATTTTGCAGAATTTAGGAACAATCCACTGTATTTTTAAAAGTAAGACTCTGTTCCAAAGTACATTGAATTCAACAGAAAGATTCCCATTGAGTTCGACAGGCTTTGGATTGGGTCCTTAATTATTTATACTGCTGAGCTGTTTTACGTATTAGCTTTAATTTACCTCTTTTTTTTTTTTTTTTAATTCTCCTACCTACATGAGCTCTTTCATTCCCCCTTCCCCCAGTTATTACCAGTTCCTACCTAATAAATTAGGGTTCTACTCCGTCCACAGTGGGAGGGTGAACACACAAAACATTTAATAGACAATATGAGTATTTGTAGCTAACATTTGCAGCCTCATTCTTGTGAAACTTCCTGTGAAACGTCTGGCAAATGAATCCAACCACATTGGGTAAAATAAAACAGCTGCTTATTTCTGTTAAAAGCAAGCAACAGTGAAATAATTAATATGTTGGCATATGAGATGCCACTATTAAGTTTCAGTGTTAACAACAATTGAAATGTGGCAGTTCATGACTCAGGGCTACTGTTTGTGGTTAACTACAGACTCTAGATGACAGGACTACATTGGTCCACATTTAGCAGAAGTACATCTTTGTATCCAGAAGAGCTAGAAAAAAAATTTTTTTTTTAACATAAGCCTGAGTTCTGCAAAAAATATCGGAAAGACCTGAAGTCTATAAACCTGCACTAAAGCATGGAATTTCTGCAACTTATTTTAAAAGTGACATTAGTCAAATCCAAATAAAAATAGTACTGAGTTACAACAAGATCACAAAGATCTCTTTTCTGTTATTCTTATTGTAGGCACTGAGCTAGTGGCTGGAATAACAGTAATTCCAAAGGAAAATAGCTGTATTTCACAAAACACTTTCATATGATGATACCCTGGTTTGGATGACAGTATAAATCACAAGATGACAAATTATTTAGAACAGAAATGGAAAAAAAAATGATGTGATTGCAGCTGCATCAAGGCCAGTCACACAAATCCTCCCCTCCCCCGCATTTTCAGAAAATACGCACCTGACAGACAGGTAGTAGGAAAATGGAAGGCACATTATGTATAGCTTGCCGGGATGCACTGCTGGAGAAGGAGTGATGTAAAATGTTTTTATACTCTCAAAAGACAACTTTTAATCCACTCATCTCTTCTCTATTAAAATTATCAAAACTGCAAAATTTAAATAATCCTATTCCAACCATTTAGTATGTCCATCTACAGTACTAAAAAGTTTCTTTTGCCAAGAAACAGATTGAATATATGTTTTTCTTTTTAAAAATAAAAATGTACACAGCTTCCATATGCTGGCAGCCACCATGCAAGTTTAGTCTTGAAAACAATTTGCAGTGTCACATCTTTCCATTATTTCAGTAAATAGTTTTAGTCAAGACTGAAATCTTGTTCTTGCATGTTGGAGTTAAAGGACGTCTTTAGACATTGGGTTGAACTTTAACAGGCAACTGACTTGTCTTGTGCTGTCAGAGAAATCTACAGATGTCTGATGCAACACTGGAACTTTAAAACGCAGGAGTTCATGACCTCTATTTAAGATTAATCACTTTTATGCAGATTTCACAAACATTTTATTTGTATACATGGAAAGCTGAATAAACTGGTAGCCAAGCTCGCTATTTCAGCTCGTTTTTATTTTAGACCACACTTCACTTCCTCCAACTTCCTAAATATCATTTTCACCCCCACTCTCTTAAAAACGTACAAGAAAGTAAAGTAACCAATCCTATTAAGAACAAAAGGAATATTACAGTCACTCCTGAAGTTCTGCAGCAACTGGACAAAGTTTAAAGAGTTGGATAACTTTAGCTAAACTATTTTTCATTCTCTTTTTCAGGGTTTTTTTTTTTTATATCTGATTATGACCTACAAGTTAAAATACACAGGTACCATTGTAACAACATTGCTGTTATTATGGTCATTTAATATATATAAACTTAGTTATGTCATGTAACTCAGATGATTTTAAACAGATTTTATTGGCTGCTCATTGCTAAGCAATTACGTTTAGCTATAAAACCGTTTGTCCCTGCAATACAAATGGAGTATATGCTTTATCATTGTGCAGACATATGCAGTTCACGCTCATAGTTCAACATACATTCAACATTTGTTACTATGCAAAACCCGGAGGGATCCATTCATCCTTCCAATAGTGACTATTGAAAATGTATACCCCACTGAAAAGCGTACACTTTAAGCTTTTCCATATAATACTTTACTCACCAATGCTACTGAGAGAACTGCTACTTTCGGAATCAGATGGCATTATGGACAGCACACTGTAAGTGGACCCTGAAATAAAAAAACAAAACAAAACCACAAAAAGTTAGTTTTCTTGCTTCGCTCCCCACCCCCCCAGCTTCCCTTCAATTCCTCAAGAAAGCATTTGTGCCAATCTCTTAACAGGTCAAACCAAAGGTTCAAAACAGAGGCATCTCTGCTGAGATCCGGGAAAGAGTTTGTTGTTTACCGAGGCACTTCTACAGCATATCACTAGAATGGTATCACAGTAATCGGAATACCTGTGGTCACTGGCTTCCTTTTTCATTAACCATTCTTATTCAGCGGCATTACCCCTAATCAAACAATTACTTCTCCCAGCACTTGAGAGACAGCAATGTCCGGCATAGTTCAAGACTTCCAAAAGGAGGCCTACACTACTGGCACTTTCCTGTTTTTGAGACACACCAAAGCTTCTATCTGGTCATGGCACCTAATTAGGATATGCTGACCCTCAAGAAGCCATTCCCAAGCTTAAAGAACTAATTTCACTGCTTGGGCTTCAATAAATCCAGGCTGCCTCCATTTGCTTCTTTCAAGTAGCCACTCTTACAAGACGAGAGCCTCAACACTATTCTGCTAATATTGGAAGATTCTGAAGGCTGGGATCTTTTATTATTATTATTATGAAGAAAGTAAGCTAGAATTTATTTACAAGAACAAACAGAAAGACAGGTCCCTAATTGAAGAGCTGGCTATCAAATAGAACACCATCTCCTCTCCACCCCCCCCCCCCCCCAAAAAAAAAATCCACCACAGAAAAGAGTGAGGGAAGGGGGTTATCAACTATAAGATAAGTGGCACAACAAGGGAATTTCCACTGGGATATGAAGTCCATCCTCCAGGAACCTGGCCTTAGGCTGAACGTGGCTGTAAAAGACTCTTCTCTTTTTTTATTCTCCTAATTCTTTCCTCTCGTGCTTTAAGGTTTGTTTCTTCCAGGTTCCTTGGGATTAACAGCTGAAGCACTGGAATCTATGTTTCCAGTACAGGAAGCAAAAAAAAAAAGACTAGGAAATAAGAAAAAGATAGAAGTCTTTCTTGCTTTCCATCCTTTCAGAAATGTCTCAACCTACCCCTCCCCACAGACCAATTGGTTATTTGAAGGAGGAAAGAGAAGACATATGACAAATAACAGAAGCTTCCTCCGCCCCATCTCTCCCTCCACTCCCACCACCACCATCTCACACTACAAAATAAAATTAATATCAAAAACTGTGGCCCAGATCTTCAGCTGGAATAAGTTGGTGTAGCTTCATGGATTTCAACAGAGCTATGCCAATTTACACTAGCTGAGGATCTAACCCTGAATTTGATAAAACAGGAGCAAATGCTGCACAGATGAAAGCAATGTCAAAGAAGTATGGTGATGCCACAATCAATCCTTTGAAGCAGACTCTCTAGCTTCACTAACTAACAAAAAAAAAATACATACAAGAGGAATTGGGTTATTTTACCTGACAATTTTTTGCAAAGAGAGTTTCAAAATGCACTGGTTATTGAATAATTCTAATTGATTATATAAGTGGTATATTATAAAACACATATGACAAGTATGTCACTTTGATACAACGGTTTCAGAGGACACTACATTAGTTACCTCCCCCCTCCCCCCCCATACTTCTGAAGTTTTTGATGTGGTCAAATAAGTTTTGTTCTTTGTTACTGCTCATTAAAAGTAAGATACTTTGAGCACCCAACTAGAATCAATCAATCAGTGTCTCTCTGCATACGCTTCTTCCACACCTCCATACTGACCCTCAGCATGTCTTGTACCTCACGCTGGGGGGCGAGTTTAAGGCTGCTGACTTGGGCTCACAAGATCAAGGTTCTGTTCCCGGCTCTAACCACGGCAATCATTTATTTTCTGTTTCTCAGTTTCCCAATCTATAAATATATTTCCCCAAGAAGGTTAATAAACGATAATGAGGCACTCAGATATTACAATCATGAACACTGTAGAGAAGTTGAAAAATATAATAAAAATTAGCACAGAATTTTCTCCCTGTCACCCTAGTAGAACATCCATTCAACAGTCACACTTCATACTCAGCCTGAAATTTGTAATAGACACCGAAGATACCATGATGGTCCAGAACGTCACTTGAGCTTAAAAAAAAAAAAAAAAAGCTGACCCCTTTAGGTTTTGGCTGAGATTCAAACGCTCCATCTTTCCTAGCTAATGAGGGCTGACAGATTCGCATATAACGCATATGCTGTGGGAACTTACCTTCAAGCAGCAGTCGAAAATGGATTATGGGTATAGCATTTATTATCACTTACATAGTGCTAATCGCATGCTAGGGAATTTATGACACGTGATGAGACAGGCCCCTTCCCTAACCAGCTGATAATATAAGGCCCCAAGCCTGCAAATGCACCCATGCATCCGGAGCCTCATTAAAGTCGATGCAGTCTGTGCAGGTGTAAGACTCTGCTTATGCACATGCAATACCAGGGCTTAAGTAAAGAAAAGAAGCCATACATGGGAGAAAGGATACCAGGGTACGAACATATCATGGTGATGTTTGGTACATATCTTGTGGGTCCAAGATCATCAGCAGCAGCATCTCTGTGATGGGTTGGATCACAGAAACCCCCTTGGGAGCTGCCACCTAATGTACCAAGACTACCTCTGCTCCTGTTTTCCCTGCCAGCTCAGGACTCGAGCACCCTGTCTTGCTGAGCCAGACACTCCCATCTGCTCCAACACAAACCCAGGGTCTGAATCACTTGCCCCAAAGCTGCAGGTTTACCTGAAAACAGCTCACAGAAGTGTGCTTGTCTTTAGCACTCAGATGCCCAACTCCCAATGGGGTCTAAACCCAAATAAATCTGTTTTACCCTGTATAAAGCTTATGCAGGGTAAACTCAAATTGTTCTCCCTCTATAACACTGATAGAGAGATATGCACAGTTGTTTGCTCCCCCAGGTATTAATACATACTCTGAGTTAATTAATAAGTAAAAAGTGATTTTATTAAATACAGAAAGTAGGATTTAAGTGGTTCCAAGTAGTAACAAACAGAACGAAGTTACCAAGCAAAATAAAATAAAATGCACAAATCTATGTCTAATCAAACTGAATACAGATAATCTCACCCTCAGAGATGCTTCAGTAAGTTTTTTTTCTCAGACTGGACACCTTCCAGGCAGTAGTGGATTTACCATGGAGCTACTGGCGCCATGGAGACGGGCCCACACTCCAGGGGGGCCCCGACCAAGCCCACTGTTCTCCGCCCCCCGCTCTCTCCTGCGGGGGGCAGAAACTTGGTGCTCCTGGCACTGAGGCTCCTGCTACAGTAGGGCAGCCAAGCTCCCCCTCCCCTGTCTCTTCTCACAGCTTGCTCCCTTCCCGCCCTCCCCCTCCCTGCCGCCGATCAGCTGTTTGCCGGCAGGAGGGTGGGGGAGGAGCACAGCTGCAGCATGCTCACCTGGGGAGAGGAGGCAGAGAAGAGGCAGGGGTGGGGCCTTGGGGAAGGGGGTGGAACGAGCATACCTACTCTGACTGTAGAGCTGCACAGCCAGGCTGAAAAAAGAAGGTGCTGCTCAGCTCCCGGGACTTTGCAGTTGGACACCACCTTCCAGGTCCTAATGCTGGCTGAGCTCCCTTCTGTGTGCTGGGAACCATCCTTCATCTTGTACAACAGTGAGTGCCCATGATGGGGCAGGGGGACAGAGGCAGTGGGGAAGGAAGGGGGTGGGATGGGAAGGAGATGGAGTGGTGGGGAAGGGGCATGGGATGGGGAAGAGAAGGGGATAGGGCAGGGATCGGCAACCTTCGGCCCGCGGCCCACCAGGGTAAGCCCCCTGGTGGGCTGGGCCAGGTTCGGCCGATCGCGGCTCCAGGCAAATGGGGGGCTGCAGGACGAGGGATGTGCTGGCCGTGGCTTCTCACAGCCCCCATTGGCCTGGAGCGGCAAACCATGGCCAGAGGGAGCCACAATTGGCCGAACCTGTGGACGCGGCAAGTAAACAAACTGGCCTGGCCTGCCACGGGGCTTACCCTGGTGGGCCATGTGCCGAAGGTTACCGATCCCTGGGATAGGGGAAACGGGGGCCCAGCATGCAGATCCCCTTGGCAGCAGCTGGGGCTCCTCTATTAAGCAGGCCCATCAAACCCTCACCCTGACAAGCCCCGCCTCCCCTGCATCTGTACTACCCCGGTGAGCCCCCCCAGACACCCTCCCCACTGAGTCCCAACCACCTACACCTAGACCCCCCACCCAAATGAACCCTGTAGATAAATCTCTGTATTAAGCATCTTCACATAACTTTCATGACTTCCTATTATGCCTCTCTATATAACCTTGTATTAAGCCTATCCATATATAACCTCTAACTTTCATATGACTTTGTATTATGCCTCTTCATATAACCCTGTATTAAGCTATTTTCATACAACTTTGTATCAAGTCCTTTGATATAGGAACTTTGTATCAGATTCCTATGTAGACAAACTTATAGAGAACTTTGTGTTAAGCCTTGGTATAATGTTATAGCCCCTAAGGATAGTTAAAGTAGAAGAAAAATATCTTTTTGCTAGGAGTAGAATAAGATTCCCCCTCCCCACACTCCCTTAATCAATTGGCACATTAAATGAATGAGGTGTGAACGAGCAAGGTGTGGAAGGCAAGCACCTCCAGACAGCTAGTTGGAGAGGGGATGGAAGCCAGACCCAAGGACAATCAAACTTGTCAAGTGGGCTCACTAAAGAAGAGCAGTCATATTGATGGCCTCGGGGGGGGGGGGGGGGGGTTTAGAATCAAGCACCTTCTTTTGGAAATACCCTCTTTGAACAGCACCTGCTTTTGGAAGCAACCTCTTTGAACAGTATTGGGACAACACCCAGGGTGTTTCTGTGGCAGGCCTGGCCCTTGTGCTGTGTCAGGGTCAGGTTCAGTTTCACTGCCAAGTCCCTGTCCCAGGGGAGGGGGGAAGGCTGCAGGGTATTCTCCCACCTCCATGCAGCCAGTGGCCTGTGCTCCCCACTGCCATGGTGGAGCTTCCACG